TAAGTCTAATTCCCCAGGTGGGGGAAGTTTTCTGTCACTATTTCTTTCAGTATGTTTTCGATATCTTGCTCTCTCTCATCTTCTGAGACCTCCATAATTCTGATGTTGGTTCGCTTGAAGTTGTCCCAGAGGTTTCTTACATTATTTTCAACTTTCTGGATTCTCTTGCCTTCTTGCTTCTGCAGAGGAGTGTCTTCTGGCTCTTTATGTTCCAAATCTTTGACTTGATTCTTGCGATCTTCCATTCTGTTTTTAGGACTTTGTATAATATTTTTTATTTCAGACAATGTATTCTTTATTTCTTGTTGATCCCTTATCATTTCTTGTTGATTCCTTATTAATTCTAGTTGATCCCTTTTCATATGCTCATAGGTCTTATCGATCTTTTCTAGGAAATTCTTGAAAAACCTTATAAGCGTAGATTTGAACTCTATATCCAGTCGCTTTTTGTCCTCCATTTCTTTCATTTGTGATCTATTTTGTTGTCTCGGCATTTTCGCAGCTTCCCTGATGGGGCGGGGTTTCAGGGTAGAGCCTACAGCCTTGGCTTCCGTCAGCCCCACCCTATGCAGTTCCTGAGTCTCAGTAATCCCCAGGGTCCTTCAGTACTCGTTGCAAGCACCTCTGAGAGAAAGGTGCCCTCGATTTTCACCTGCTACCAAACAGTCTAGGCTCTCCCCCAATGAGTCCGGAACTGGGGTTCAGTTCAGTTGGAAGTGGAGTTGGAGGTGGCGTTCAGAGCAGACTGGAGCCCCTGTCTCCTTCCCGCCAGCGCAATCCCGCAGCACAGTCAACCGTCCCTTCTCTGTGCGCAATGTGCGTGCTGCCGGGACCTCCTTTTGCTGCTCCCCCGAGGTTCCGCCTTACAGCCTAGCTCCCTCTGTGTGAGCCTGGGTCCCCGGGGTATGGCCTAGAAATGGGGTTCAGAGCAGTCAGAACTGGGGCTCAGCACAGTCGGAGCTTTTATCTCCTTCCCGCTAGGGAACGCCAGCCAGGCACTCACTCAACTGCCCCTCCTCTCCTGCTCCATCCTCTCCGCGCGCCACGTGTCTCCGTACCTTAGTCTTTTTTAGCTCCTCTGCTTTTCCTTCTGGTTTTCTCCTTGCTTCTCGTTGTAGAATTTCCAGTCAGTCGACTTTCCTGTACTTTTTATATTTTAGTTGTATTTTATTGAAATTGTTATGTGTGGCTGCGACTAGGTGTTTACCTGTGCAGCCATCTTGGATTCTCCTAAAATTTTTTTATTAGCTGCAACATTCCCTGAAGTGTTTCACATGGAATACTAGACTGAGAAAATAGCCACTGATAAAAATTCGATGATCAGTTCAATTTCAGAAACACTTTACCCTGTATTTGCCTCAGGGAGGCAATACATCTCAGTGTATGAAGGCTTCTGAAAAATGTCTGTAGTAAAGAAATTTGTTTGACTCAGCATTTCATAACTTACTTGCTTAAAAATCCAATTTGCATATAATACATATTAAAATTCTTTGGCTTGATATTCTATATAACACCATTTGATAAATGTTCAAATATTGTTACCAAAAATTAAACTTTTTGTTATCTGACCCACAAGAGAAGAGTTTTTTAAAAAAAATAAACCTCTTTCATTTTTAAAAAGATGCCCTGAAAACTAAATGAATGATTTTTTTTCTCGCTCTGAGAAGATAATACATAAATAAAAGGTTGGTTGTGTGAGTGTGTGTGTGTGTGTGTGTATGCGTGCACACATACACACATGTGTACAATGTGTGCACCTCTGTAGCTTTCTAGAAAATTTGGGCAGACATCTGGATAGGGTGGAGAGAATGGAGAACAAATGATAATTTTTCACACACCTCCGATGCAAATAGGCTCCAGTGCATTTTCTCATCCATCAGAGCTTGTAGAATGGCCAGAGCAGCAATTATTAGAGTTGAGGAGGTGATTGAGTTACATGAAATAAACTGACTGTTTAGGATCCAGCATCAGAACCAAATATTCAGACCCCTTGAACTTATCTTTTCTTAACTTTTGGGTGAAACATATTGAATCAGTCCCAGATGTTGATATCAATGCATTCTCCATTGTGTACAGAGAAATGATATTTTGTCATACATTTCATGGATATTCCCAGCATAGACAATAGATTCCTACCTCCTACAAAAGGTGGGATATGACCAATTCCCAACAGTAATGGTGGCTTATAATGATAGGGATTCTCACAGTGGACAGAGGAAGACATACAGCTTTATGTATGTTCCTAGGGAAGAGTCCAATAGCACTGTCTACTTTTGAAAAACATTTCAATAGATGGTTTAAACCATTTCTGCATTAAAGGGCCTCATTCAGCTGGTTATCTAATGAAAGTGACATGCATTAAACATAGAGTTGTAGGGGGAGAATACCTATAAATAGCTTTTGTAATTTCTCTTGTACATATAAAGTTGGGGTATCCATAATGATGGCTTTTAACTTTCAACAATTTCCTAAAAGAATGTACTTCCTCAGAGCTGGATGGATCCAAATGTTGCTCAGAAATTTTGTGATAGCTCTGAGTTTCATATGCATGACTCTGGTACTCATAGACTTGCTGTTCTACTTAGGTGTCTTCCTGGTGAGGCTCAAATATGTTTGGTAGGTCACACTTACATCGAGATAGGTTGCTTTTGGTCCTTGAATTGCATTCTGGCTAGTAAAGATTGCACACACACATAACAAAGGGTGGCTCTGCAGGTGTGTTCTATACAGAAAATGTCGCTGACCGTACTTTAAAAGAATTTTCCTCTAAACGTTTTCAAGTGTTAAGGAAAATGTTAGAGTTGATTCTACAGTTGGCATTTTGAATGTGATATTTTGCCCTAAAGAATCATTGTTTTAGATTTTTAACATGGGAAACAGCGTAATATGTAGAGAAAGTGTGCTTCCATCTGTGATATGTTTGTGTTTATGGAGACATTTATCCACTGGTTCCAATCTATCAAGTTCGCATCTGTGTGTCTGATTTAGTTGATTTCTAGACATATACAGAGTTAATATTCTTCTTGCAACATTCCATAGATTTATTTATAAATCTGATGCTCTTTTTTGTTTGTTTGTATGTTTTTATGCTGCCCTCATAACTCAACTCCTGTAGAGAAAATGATTAAAAAGCAATTTCACCCTTTAGAAATATTATTAGACTTTGAGTCTTGTGCTGTTTGTTGAATGTGTTAGTTTCAAGATTTGTTATGTTAAATTTTGTAAAGGCACTTGCTGAATTGAGTAAAATTTAAAATGTAAAATCTAAAAGAAGGCATTTCAATTCTTTCTCTTAATTTGATCTTCTGAAAATACTGTTGATCTGAAAAAAATAAGAGACTCCTTTTATAAAAAATGGCAGACAAGTTATCAAATGAGATACTATGTGACCAAGTTTTTTTTTAAAATATAAGAATAAAATTCTCTAGTCATAGTAAGGGCTTCTTTGAAAAAGCAGGTATTCTTAGCCAATCTGTAGTTATAGTACTTGTTAATCATGATTTGCTAGGGTGGGTCCGACTGTGACTCTGCACATGTATGGACAGGGCAGATGAAACATGATCTGTGCACTTCAGGAGCTCTGTAATGTAACTGTAGAGATGATACATGTACGGAAATAACTGCATTAAAAGTGCATGAGGTGTTATAACATTGATAGAACTAAACGTTTTATGAGTTTAGATAAGGGAGATAGCCAACTGGATGTCAAGGATGTCCCTTTATAGAAAAGATGAACCTGAAGACAGTTTGACACAGATTATTGTCATTACTGTTTCTAATAACACTAGAGGCCTGATGCACAAAATTTGTGCAAAAGTAGGCTTTCCTTTCCCCGGTGCCAGCACTGGCTTTCCTCTGGCACGTAGGACCTGGGCTTCCCTTTGCAGCCCCAGCTTTGTCTGGAAGGTCGTCTGGAAAGACGTATGGTCTAATTAGCATATTATGCTTTTATTATTATAGATTATTATAGACTAGAGGCCCAGTGCATGAAATTTGTCATTCGAGCGGGTCCCTCAAACCAGCCTACACCCTCTGGCAGCCTGGGACCACTCACTCCTTAACGCCCACCTACTTGCTACTCCTTACCACTTGACTTACTGCTCCTTAGCACTGTGGTAGTGGGCTCCAGCCACCGCCATTGCACTTACCAGCAGTGAACCTGGATTCTGGCTGAGCAGCGTTCCCCCTATGGGAGTGCACTGACCGCTGGGGGCAGCTCCTGCCTTGAGTGTTTGCCCCCTGGTGGTCAGTGCATGTCATAGTGACTGGTCATTCTGCCTTTATTAAGTAAACTTACCTTCTTAAAATTATTTTTTATTAGTACTAATAATAAAAAAATGGAATTATAATTTTATGAAGGAAAACCTGGACATACTTGTATCAACTTCTTTGTAAAAAATGTTTTGTTTTGTGTTCCTTCTTTTGTTTGCTCTTGCTTTACATTTCCCCAGGAAACTTTGTATTTTAGCATCCTTCATTGACACTGACAAAATTGTCAAGCACAGAATTTCCTGGAGGCTTGGCCCTTTTGTGTGAGCATGAGTTATAGACCTCAGTCTTTTGATACTCCTTCCCCTTTTATTTAAATGAGGAAATAACTGCCCCTATTCTGGATAATTTTTAATTAGAGATCTTAAAACTCTATTATTTAAAGTTTATTAGTGGAAGGACCATTAAGTGTTCTTATAATATAAGTTGATTATTATATATACAAGATGGCTCATAGCTGGCATTAAAATGCTCTGTGTTTTCTTATAAGTATTTCAGAATTTTAAATTTTGGCAGAATTTTTTTGAGCAATTAATAGTGTAATAGAAAAACTGAAAATAGTAGATTTAGTCTAGTTATGTTGATAATTACAATAAAATATTGATATGCAAGCATCCAGTCATATCACTGGGCTTTTAATATAATATTACATTTTTATTATAATCTAAGAGCAGTTTTCACTGGGAATAGATTATTTTAAATCTACATTTTCTTTTTTTCTTTTTCTACAGGAAGGAACTTGAAACCGTCAAAGGTAATTTTGTGTTTAATTCTTCACTTTAAAATAGATGAGACTTAATTGGTGTCAGATATTCTTTCTTAATGATGATGAACAAACTCATTCCTTTTTCTTTAAGTCAGTTTACATAAAAAAAAAAAAAAGTTTGCTTAATACTATTTGTCAGTCTTATTTAATCACAAGTGATTTTGATATTGTTTAGCCATAACACATGTACTGAGTGAGAGTTGCTACTAATGACCATTATAAGTAACTAGAGGCCGAGTGAATGAAATTTCTGCATGGGTAGGGTCCCTAGGCCTGGCTGGTGATCAGGGCCGATTGGGGCCTTCTGACTGCCTCCCTTCATTCTGCGCCACTCCCTGGTGGTCAGTGTACATCATGGCAAGTGATCGGTCTACATGTTGTACTCCTGTTGGGACAATTTGCATATTAGGCTTTTATATATATAGATACGTTAGGATGGCACAGTGCTAATTTTCAGGTTACTGAGAATCATAATTTAAAAAGATTCTGGTTTCTATTTTGGAAGGCAACTATGCTCACCACTATACCACCAATGCCTGGTTTCTATTTTGTAAACTCTGGACCACAAGGACAGAGTGTGGTATTAGAGATAGAGCTTTGCTTCTGCAATTGACCCACTGTTACTTGAACCTGCTGAGTGGTATTCAGTATTGGGTCACATTATGTCACTGTCTTGAAATTTGGGCTAAGTCTCAATGTTTTTTGGGATTTTTAAAAAATCTATAAAATTAGAAGTTCTGATGAACTATATTCTGATATGCTAAAAGCATCCAGCATTGCTTTTTAATTTTAAGGAATTTCTGAGGTTAGAGCATTGAAGAATTCTTGGTCATGTTGACTCTTAATTATATTTCACATATAAGCTAGTATTGACCTTTCGATTTACCGAATGATTAAGGATTTTCCACTATCCTTCTGCTATATAATAAAGAGGCAATATGCAAATTGACCCTCACACCCTCACCAGATGGCTGCCTATAGTGAGGGACAACCAAATGACTGAACAAGCAAGCTGTGTGAGATGACCAGGCCGGCAAGGGGATTAGTGAGAGATGACCAAATGACTGAACAGCAGGCTGCATGGGGTGACCAGGCCAGCAGGGGGATTAGCAAGGGACACCAAACAACTGAACAAGCAGGCTGCATAGGGCAACCAGGCCGGCAGGGGGGTTAGTGAGAGATGACCAAACAACTGAACAGTTGATCACAACTGAGCAAGCAGGCTGTGTGGTGTGACCAAACTACTAGGGGTCGGGGGGACAGTTAGGAGCAAGTAGGTCAGTCAGGGAGGCAGTTGGGGGTGCATTTAGGGGTGACCAGGGGGGATTTAGGGGTGACCAGGCCAGCAGAGGGGGGCAACCATGCTGGCAGGGGTGGCAGTAAGGTGTATCAGGCCAGTGGGGGAGGTTCAGTTAGGAGCAACCAGGCCTGAAGGAGGGGGAAGTTGGGGGTGACCTGGCCAGCAATAGGGGGCAGTTACGGGCGACCAGGCTGGTGGGGGTGGGGGGAATGTTAGGGGCAATCAGGCTGGCACATAGAGGCAGTGAGAGGCGATCAGGCTGGCATGGGGGAACAGTTAGGGGCAACCAGGCAGACAGGCAGGTGAGCCAGTGGTCCAGGTTTGTGAGAGAGATGTCCCAGATTGGAGAGGGTGCAGGCTGGGCTGAGGGGACCCCCCATGCACAAATTTCGAGCACTGGGCCTCTATAGTTGAACTAGAGGTCCGGTGCACGAAATTTGTGCACAGGTGGGGGTCTCTCTGCCTGGCCAGCAGTTAGGGGCGATCAGAGCTGATGTGCTATTTTGCCCAGTCCTGATTGGGGCCGATTGGGACCAATTGGGGCTGGTGGCCAGGGAGGGACTGTGGGAGGGTTCCAGGGCCTATCTTGCTCAGTCCTGATTGACCGGACCCCAGCAGCAAGCTAACCTACCAGTCAGAGAACCTGCTCCCTGGTGGTCAGTGCACATCATAGCAACTGGTCAGTTGATCGACTGTCTGCCTCCTGTTGGTCAGTGCATGTTATAGTGAGCGGTTGAGTGGCCTTAGTATATCATTAGCATATTATGCTTTGATTGGTTGGTCAAACGATTGACCAGACACTTAGCATATTAGTTTTTTTTTATATACTAGAGGCCCAATGCATGAAAATTCATGCAAGAGTAGGAAAATTCATCCCTTCTCCTGGCTGCCAGCACCGGCTTTCCTCCAGCACCTGGGACTTGAGCTGCCAGCACTGACTTCCCTTTAGCACCCAGGACATAGGCTTCCCTCCTTCACTGCCAGCAGGCATCTGGGACCTGGGCTTCTCTCCTCCAGCCACCGGCAGACACCTGGGACCGAGGCTTCCCTCTTTCGGCCACCTGGAGGCATCTGGGACCTGCATTTTCCTCCTCTGACCACCTGTAGGCATCTGGACCCAGGTTGCTTCCCTCCTCTGGCCGTCAGCTGGCACCCAAGACTCAGGCTGGCCCCCTTGGACCACCCGCAGGTACTCGGGACCTGGGCTGACTTCAATTGGGCCACCTGCAGGCACCTTGGACCTGGACTGGCTTCCCTCCAGCCCCAGTTTTGTCAGGAATGACGTCTGGAATAACATCCGGTCTAATAAGCATATTACTTCTTTATTATCTATATTAATAAAGGAGTGATATGTTAATTAGACTGGGTCAACTGGACATCTTCTGGACATCTGAGTTCCTTCAGGACAAAACCATGGTGGTGGGGGACAAAGGCAGTTATGGGCGATCAGGCTGGCAGGGGAGCAAGCATTAGAGGCAAGATCAGGCTAGCATGGGGAAGCAAGCAATTAGGGGTGAAATTAGGCTGGCACAGGGGAGCAAGCAGTTAGGGGCAATCAGGCTGATGAGGGAGTAAGCATTTGGGGGTGATCAGGCTGGCAGGGGAGCAGTTAGGGGGCAATCAGGCTGGCAGGCAGAGATGGTTAGGGGTGATCAGGCAGGCAGGCAGGCAGGCAAGTAATTAGGAACAAACGCGGTCTGGATTGTGAGAGGGTGTCTGACAGCTGATTTAGGCATAATCTGGGATCGGGCCTAAACTGGCAGTTAGATATCACCTGAGGGTCCCAGATTAGAGAGGGTGCAGGCCAGGCTAAAGACACCCTCCTTCCATGCATGAATTTCATGCCCTGGGCCTCTAGTTACAGATAAGATTGTTAAGTGTATGATCTCATTGGATGTTTAGAAGAACTGAATAATCCCCAAGATAAAAGGTATAAAGGCTTATTTCTGCTATGACTACAATTGTACTGATTTGCTTTGGATAGGTTTCTATTTAACTGCTTACAGTTATAGTATATGATTAAGTTCATGGCTAATGTGTTGAGGAAATGTTAAATGATCCTGTAATATAATGTATTATCATGGCTGTCATTATTCTTAGTCAATTTTTGAATCGTGACTCATGTACATTATTTTTTTTTTATCAGTAGTTTGAAATAAGATTTGAAATCCTCATAAAAATGGTCTCTTCCCTCTAATTCTTTCTTTTAGTCAGCTACAACCTCCTTATATAAATTAGAAGGAAGAAAAAAATCAAGTTAATATTTAAAGACAAGCAGGGACACACTGGTTATGCAAAAATGTCAACTTGTATCTCAGCACTGAGGAGTCTTTTTTTTTTTTTTAGTATGACATACCCAATAGGATAATTCAGTTTATGTTGATATATCTTGTTTACACATACATCCCTAATTATGTACAACATATAACAGTACATCTAACCTATTCACAGGCAAATTAAAATTCTGAACAAACTATAAATTGATTATTGTATCATATCATACAAAGTTTTTTTTAGTAACAATATTCATTAAAAATTATTTCCTCTTGAATATTTGCTAATTTTTAAAAGCATAGGTACCATATAATAAAAGAAGAAATGTAACTGCTCTCCTAAGGCATTATATAGAAAAGGGAAAAAATTCAAACAAATTGTAATAATTTATTTTTGAACATCATTGCCTTTGTTTTTATTTTTCCTTTATAATAGAGTTCAGGAAAACAAAAGGTATTACTTCCTTCAATTGTTTTATTCAATTTGTAGTTGTATTTGAAAGCTTTTTTTTTTGTTGGTGAAAAACTAACTTTTGGAGACAAAAACTCAAAATTGGTAACACTCAAAGTAATAATATAGATCAGCATCCACTGAGCTAGATTCTGTCTTCTATCTTCCATTGACGTTAATGCATCAAGTTTGCCTTTCACTTGTGCCACATGTAGCAAATCTCTACAACATTATGGAAACTAGATGATGTTTGTTTTTTGGTTAATGCTCGTAGCAGAAAGGTTTTCTGTGTTCCTCATACATTGCTATATTCCTCAAATATTTATATTCTTTTAAACATTTTAGTAATATTAATTGAATAATAGACAATAGAAAAAGGAGGATGCAATCCTAAAACTCTTAAATTTTTATTTTCAGTAGGGAAAAAATTCCATTATTATAAGCACATGTAGGAGGGTTCCTTGTTTTATTACACTTCACTTTTTAAAAATTCTTTATTGTTTAAAGTATTACATATGTCTCCTCGCTCCCCCCCCCTCCATTGACTTCTCTCCAGCTGCTCCCACCTCTTAGCACATACCCTCAACCCTTCTACTGTCTGTGTCCATTGGTTATGCTCATATGCAACTGCCACACATACCTTCCCCTGCCTTCCCTCTGAGTTTGATGGTTTGTTTTATGCTTCTATGTCTCTGGATCTATTTTTGTTTATCAGTTTATGTTGTTCATTATATTCCAAAATGACTGTGATCATGTGATATTTATCTTTCTCTGACTGGCTTATTTTGCTTAGCATAATGCTCTCCAGGTCCATCATGCGGTTGCAAATGGAAAGAGTTTTTTTTTTTATACCAGCATAGTATTCCATCTATACATATACCATGGTTTTATTAATCCACTCATCTGCTGATGGGCACTTAGGCTTTTTCAAATCTTAGGTATTGCAAATTGTGCTGCTATGAAC